AACAGTGCAGACATTTTTTAAGATACGCTGATATTGGATTTATTTTCATGCACATTTTCTGCCAAAGGTTTGTTGCACCAGAGAGAGGATCCTGACCGGCTGCATCAGAATCAGTATCAGGTTTATCGCCAGGTAGGTTGACACGTACGAGGAATTTGACTTGGTGTCATGGTGCATACATAAAAAACACAGAGAGAAAACTATTTTAAGAAAACTATAATAACATAAAACAATATTAAAAAAAAGTAAGTAAAATATAGCAGTATTTACATTGAAATAAAAATATGTGCAGTAATAAAATAAATAAAAAAGGTGGTGAAAACTGCATGGAGGATCTCTACTCCCAGCGGCACAGGAAGAAAGCCCTCAGGATTATAAAAGACCCCATCACCCCAATAACAAACTGCTGAATCAGGACAACAACCACCAGACTCAGAGAAAGAAAAAGATAATACAGCAAAACATTAGTAAATAATCATAAGTTAAAGGAAGAAAAACGACTGGATAGAAATACTCTGCAACACGTCCTGCACTTAACTTTCTTTTTCTTATTTGCTCATTAATTAAGCCACAAACTGTTCTGTCTGCTGCCGTCTGACTAAAACCACCAGACTCAGGGACAGTTTCATCCCACTGGCCACAGGACTATTAAACACCTGAACTCCGTGAAGAACATCCATAACATTCATCTGTTTGCATCTGTTACGGCCGCCGCCTTCCATCTGCCCATTAACCTGTCTATACGTGTTTGCAGCTGTGTATTATATATGAGCTGTGCCGTTGCCCAGACGCCATTGGATGCCAGTTTCCTGTCCCTTCCCCGGTAGGCGTGGCCGAAGATCTGGATTGGAGCATGCCGGGCTCGACTCTCCAATCCCCGCACACACCTTCCGGGGACAGCTACAAGAATGTGTGCACCTCAGTTAGTCGAGAGAGGTCTGAATCTGCAGACGTCTCTCGACAATTACAATTTATGTATCTATATATCATATTGCATTTATGTGTTTATAGGCTCTTCTTGCAATATTTATATTTTATTGGTATTTACTTGCAGCATTCTCTTGCACTATTTTATTTCTATTCTGTGATTTCTGAACTATTTGTATTGGTTTTATTTGTTCTATGTCCTATACATATTCATGTTGCATTGTTGGGGAGCCTGGGACGTTTTTCATTGCCATATCTACACTGTAGCTAATGTGCACATGACAATAAAGCCTTGAATCTTGTTTAACATAAATATATTTTTGGGGAATATGGGGATTTGACCCTCTGCAGCCCATTTACATGCACTAAAACATATATAACACACTACAAGAGAGGGAAACCCCCCAAAAACATAATAGGACCTCTTTAGACTTTCTTTCAGTAAATGTTTTATCAGCAGTGATGGAGTTCAGCTCAGTTTGTGTCCTGAACTGTAACACATTTGGCTCGCCTCCATCTGATCTGCTGCCAACACAAGGAGGACACAAAGAGCCTTAATTAAGGTACAAAGATTTATTCGTCAGATATACGAGAACTACATGTGTCTTATGTTAAAGGGACCATGATTTAAAGGAAATTAACTGGACGAATAAAACTGTTCTCTTTAAATTCTCTGATGACTTGCATGCCGATGTAAAGGAACCTGAGTCCTGTCAACAATGTTTGCAAAAAGGTTTCCTAAGCAAGTAGATTTTATATATATTATATATTAGCGTTGATTATTTGAGGCGTACTGGTCCTTGTGTTGTGCGCATTTGATCTTGTTCTTCAAATTTGAAATAAAATTAATAATTGAAAAAGAAAGGTGATTTGCATAGACAGAAGCTGTAGATAGAACGAGCGCTGCAACTGATAATCAAATATTTATAGTATAGTCTATACGCAGTGGTTCTCAACTGGTGGGTCGCGACCCACTTTTGGGTCGCGGACCCGTTTCGAATGGGTCGCGGATGTGTGAGTGAAGAAAAAAAATGTGTGCATGCAGTAGGCGTTGGACTGGAAGTACCGGAGACCAGTAGTCACGTAGTGATCATCTTCTCAATAAAACATCTTTGCTGATGTTTTTTCGAGTCTTCTGGCCAATCAGAATCAAGATTGTTGCCGGAAGTCCCCACGGAGAATAACTTAGCGGTAGAACTCTTCTTTATACATCCATGGGTACAACTTCAGATACAAATGAACACATAATGAAATATGACCCCCGGTTTGATGATTGACAGGTCACAGAACAATGGGGGCTATCTACCCTTACCCACAATTTAAAGTAAGTCACACAGACTATCTCCGGTTTACTCTTCTCGCAGCAAGATGTCAGAACAAAGTGAAAAACAAACAATGGCATAAAATATTATTAATATGTCGGGTAGTAATAGATTTATTTATTTTCTTCTCAGAGTACCAGAATGCATAGTTTATGTTAGTATTTCAAAAAATATGAGTGTGTGTGTGTGTGTGTGTGTGTGTGTGTGTGTGTGTGTGTGTGTGTGTAGGCTAAGGGGCGGGACATCTCTAAGCAGTTGATCTAAGAATCCCCCCAGACCCCCCTTCTGGGGTTGGGTTTTCAGCATGTGTGCCTTTTTATATAGTTCAGCTTTGATTCCATCATCTCATAAACCTTTTATAAAAGCATACTTTAGTTCTGTGAAGGGATATAAGAGATATATGCACTGTACTTCACTTGTATTAATATTGTATGCTGAAAAGCGTATATTACAGCACGATTTTTTGTTGAATAGATTTGAGTGCTTCAAAATGTTGAGTCGCGATTTATTGACCAAGTAAAAAGTGGGTCCCGAGTCCAGAACACAGGTACAGGAATAGATAGCTCACCTGTGCCAAACATGACTCTGCACTTCAATTCAAACTCTGAACTTCCAACCGTTTTATTATCATTCTCAGGAATACATTATGCAATATATAAGATACAATATCACCTTGTTAAAACGTTGACTTCACCTGGAACAGATCAGTTATTATGGTGGTAATATATTTTATGTCTGGACTTTAAACAGGGGTCCTCACAGAGAAGAGTGATAAGTACAGATCAATAAACTGACATAAGATAGACAGCGATGTAACTCGAAAAACTGACTGTCGTCTCTTGGACACATTTTATATTTTATATGCAGCCCTTTTAGACTTACAGAGTAAATAGTCATTTGTTGTTTATTTCCTTTTCTTGCTATACTGGCTTCTCTGCTGCTGTAATCAAATGACGGTCAGGACAACATAAAATAATCAGGTCAATCATTGATTAACATATTTACAAACCATAAGTGATCACCATGTCTGAACCTTAAACTTAATAACCTAAATGCACTCAATGCACTCAGACAACTCACAAGTCAAATATAATTAAGTTAACTGTATCCTCTTCCACTAACACTGCAGCCAAGACCTTGGGAAACACTTCAAGATCAATGAAACATTTAATAATGTAGTATTCCCGCACAAAAGGCATCTAAAAAAATCGTTCAGGACTTCTTGAACCTCTTTAACGACTGCTGTAAGGTAAGGTACGTTTATTTATATAGCACATTTCAGACGCAGAGGCAATTCAAAGTGCTTTACATGATTATTAACACATGATAATAGAACAGAGAGGAACACAATAAATAAACATAATGGAATAACAGTTTCATAAAAACAATGCATTAATGAGATATAAAATAGTTTAAAAACGACATTGTAAATACGGTTGGTGCTAAAACAAGTTAAAAGGCTTCTGGGTAAGCAGCTGTAAAAAGTAGTGTTTTTAGCCTCGACTTAAATGTAACTGTAGCTGTAACTTCTTAAATCCTCTGCAATGTCCTCAAGTATCATCAATGCCTCCTTGAGTTCCCCCATTACTCCTTCAATAACACTGAAATGATTTAACCATCAATGAAAGAACTCTAAGGACGAGTCTAATCTTGTGATCTCTGGTCCCTTTTTGAAAGTTACATAAAGCACACCTGGATCTAGGGTTGGGCAATATGAGGTTTTATACTGTGCACAGAAAGAGTGTCTACCAATTAGAGATTCTGCAATACTGTGGTGGCTTTTCTCAGGTGTTTGTCTCATGTGATGCATATTAAAGAAAGAAAGCGCCCACCCCTATATGTCATATCTTCCAGAACTTAATGAGGAATGGCAATGGACCTCCTCATTAACCCCAGGGACTTCATGACCCAATGGGAGCTCTAAAATGACCTCTGACATCTCCAAAAGGATTACCAAAACCTTCTCAGGGACCTCTGGACGAAACTCTTTAGAAGATTCAGGACCTTTTGAACTATTTAAGGACCCTCCAAACTACTTAGGGTTAACAAGAACCCTCTCAAGAACTTTTGGAATATTCAGCCCCTCTTAAACCTCCTAAAGGACACGTGGAACCTCTTCAAAGATCACTAATAGGCGTTTTTCAAACTGGTCGATAGTAATAAGAGTCCTTCTTTTCATTCAACACACAAATTCTTAACCATCGTACTTCCTAGAACGCCATTTTAAGGGTCTTTTCTAGCTCTCATTTCCGAGGACGTGATCTCCCAGCACAAGAAGAACATGAGCCAAATACATGGGCCAATGCACCAACAGCAACCCCCAGCTTTAACAGACTATGTAAATGACCCTCGTGAAAATTGGAGGAAACATTTGGACATACACTAAGTCCAGAAGTTCTTCAAGAACACAACAAACTAGTGAGAGCCGCTTCCCATGAGCTATCCCAGTAGCAACGAGGCTAACCTAGTAGCACAGAGACTAATACCGTAGCACAAAGGCTAACATAGTAGCACAAAGGCTTAACCAGTAACACAAACACAGGAGAAAAAAGACTAACAAAGTACCAATAAGACTAGGCAAGACTAAGTAGTAAAAGGTTAACCCCGTAGCAAAAAGGCTAACCTAGTAGCACAAAGCACACCCTCTGAACCGAAATTGAAAAAGGTACTCTTGTAATGGTATTCAGTGTATCTGTTGGCAATGTGAATGCAAACACTAAAATACCCCTTATTAAAGGTATGTCGTTTTCGGAGGAGCTCCTCAGATCTGTCGCTAAAACATCTAATATCTCTTTGAAATGTATCAAGGCCCTATGGCACTTCCTCAGAAACATCTGCAACATCGACAAGGACCTCCAAACATTCATCCAGGACCCCTAGAAATGAGAGGGGATGAAAACATGAGAGGGAACGGGGAGAGCAGTGAAGTCTGCCAACAGGATTAAGAGATTACAGGCCACTCCTGTTAATCTCTGGTCCACGTGGAGAGAGGGATGATGATGTCACACTTGGCCGCCCGTCTTCACACACACACACACACACACACACACACACACACACACACACACACAGGGAAAAGTGCAGCAGAGCATGAACGCTTGAACGAACCAATGAGAGGCTGATAAGCACCTGATGACCTCTGATAAGATCTGTCTGACTGTAGAAATGATCAGTACTGCAACTCTATCAAAGACACTTGTAAACGCTTCAAAAGCCCCGTTAACCAGTGGCGTTTTCTCCCGGAGGCCAAGGGAAGCCAGGCTTCCCTTGTTTTTTCGGATTGTAGTTATAATTTAAATAAATAAATAAAAACACTTTGTTTTGTTTCGATAATTCTCCTTTGCTGTGTGTTGCTGCCGGCCCGTCGCTCCCCCATTCTCATTGAGTATTTTACAAAGAGTGAAACAAACAGCGCCCCTCTAGATGTTATGGTGAAACAGTAGATTGCACTCTCTGTTGTGAGAGGAGGCCAGCCGAATCTAGCTTCCCTTGGTGAAAAAAAATGGAGGGATTGACCAATCAGATGAGGCCCACGTGATGCCCCTGCCAACCTGTGATTGGTCAAGGCCATGCCAAGGGAAGCCAGCCGCCTCTTGCTTCCCTTCAGAGGCGGCTGGCGGCTGGCGATTTGATTGGACACTGCCATCCAATCAAATCACATCAACATCAGTTTTAATACTGTAACTGTCATCACCGCCGTCAGAAATTATCAAGCAAATGAAGCATTATGGAGGGTGGAGATTTGGCGTACTTAATCAAACATAACTTTACTAAACTTCTGCTACAGCAGCAACTGAAAATTAAATCAGATGACAGGCCAATGCCCGCACTCGAGCTGTGTGTACACAGAGGAAAAAGGGAGAGAATCGGACGTTCAATGAGGACAATTATGTCCGCACGGAGTGGCTAACTGGAAGCGCTAAACTTCAGCGTCTATTTTGCTGGCCATGTCTTCTTTTTGACAAGGATTCGTGCTCCCTGAACAATCCTTGGGCAACTTCAGGATTCATCGACCTTGCCAACCTGTCACGGGCAATTGAGAGGCACGGTAAATCCAAAAATCACATAGATTGTGTTATTGTCTGCATACATTAATAAGTAAAATGCTTAAATTAATAAGGAGAGTTTCAGCTGGAGAGTGCGTGCGGACCTTTCGGTTAGATAACAGGCGAGTGCAAGTCCTGCATCTGTGTGATACAAATGTGTGTAAAATGATACCGGGTGCTGTAATCACTCATCTGGTTACGTTATTGACCACCCCCCCCCGACCCAAAAAATGGGCTTCCCCTACATTTTTCCCCACGCCACGCTACTGCCGTTAACCTCATCAAGGTAAATCGTTTTCTTCACGACCATTTGAACACAGCAAAGGTCCTTTAGGTAGTCTTTAAGGACTACTTGATCATAGCCAATGACCATCAGACACTCCTGAAAGACCACTACAACCTGAAACACTCTTTCCTTACCCTTGAAACCAACAAAACTCTCTAATAATCAGTCGAATTCTATAACTAAGGATAACATTTTATTGTCACTAATGCCATTTTCCGAACTGCTCATCAGTCCAGTTCTTTGGCAATTCCTCACATTGAGTCCCAATCAGTTTTCTTAGTGGATACAACACCGATTTTCAGCATCAAAGCAGCTGATTCATCATCTTTAAATGCAAACCTAAGAGGGAATGTGTGGTTTATGATTTGAAAATGTTCAAATATTGGAAGCACTGTTTGTTCCCTAGCTCCAGTCGAAGCAGAAAGCCACTTGCACCCCAACCTGACCTATAGAGCCGGTATTGCTGCATCACCACGGAGGAAATGCACCCTGCAAGGCTTCGAAAGCGAAATCTTCACCAAACCGATCTTGTCTGAATTCTCCTTCATCCTTTGAAACATCCTCAATGACCTCTGATAGCTTCACAAGGCGACTGGAACTGCTTTACGGTTGTAGTCATCTTAATTCTACCATATAAAACAATTCAGAGTTGGAAAAAGCAGCTTTGGGGTGATCTGCTAACACCTTATCTCTATGAATAAGCAGAAGAACTGGACTAAATGTCCTGTATGATAAGGTCTCCAACCAAAGCTGGTGCTCACAAATATAGAAACACACACACACACACACACACACACACACACACACACAGTAGTTGCCTGAGGACAGGGCTGATCTCTGAGAGATGAACACGGAGCTGCAGGTCATTTCATAATCATTGGAGCAGAGAATCAGTGTGAGTGTGTGTGTGTGTGTTACTGCTGCAGTCACTACACCAAGGACACACGTGCCACACACACACACACACACACACACACTCTGCAGTATAATACATTGCAACTTTGTTGAGGGGAGGGAGGATGAGGGTCATGGAGGACAGAATGATAAGGACATCACAAAGACATAAATAGGACAGAAGTTGGGATACAGTGTGAGTGTGTGTGTGTGTGTGTGTGTGTGTGTGTGTGTGTGTGTGTGTGTGTGTGTGTGTGTGTGTGTGTGTGTGTGTGTGTGTGTGTGTGTGTGTGTGTGAAACTCTCTCTGGTCCCTTTCGTGACACGTCTCCATGCTTTAAAGTTCAAAAAGCTCTTTATTGTTCTCATACTGCCTGTGAAGAAGCACAACAGGGCCCATTTTAAATAGTTGTTGGGGGACAATGGCGTAAATAAGAGACTCTGGAGCTACATAACAATGGCGCCATGCTGCAGATAAAAGAGCAAAATGCTTCTTTTAAAGAGAAACATTGTTTTATAAATCAGGTGTGAGGCAGCAGAGCGGAGAGGAGGAGGAGGCGACCTTTAGATCAGCATGTCTCTGTAATGTGAGAACTCACCCTTTTCTTTTGATACTTAGTGATTTAACATGAGTCTGACCTTCTCCTCCTCCTCCTTCTATCGGTGTGAACATTCAGACCTTTCCGTCCAACTGTGTGAAAGAGACCTTTTCAGCGATTAAGAAACAAATCTTGAATCTCCGTCAGCAGTTTGTCTCTGTTGTTTAATTTGGACAGAGAAGAGGAACACTGTGCTCCTCCTCTCCATTTAGACGTTTGGCAACTTGTTAATTGGGCTTTTACTCAATTACTATCACAAACAGGCAAACACATATTACACTAATGGCACATTTCCACTGCAGCGGGGTTTAAGCGTCCCTAAGCGTCCTCGCTCAGGCCTCGGGCTGCCTCACTGGCCGTCCGAGGCCGTGGCGCATTTCAATTACAGTTTAGGACCTGGGGTAGCAACGCAGTGTAGGCGGGGCGATCGGCTTTTTGGCGGGCTTTTTGGGCGGAGCGACGCTGGGTAAAACTGCAGTGTATAAAAATAAATGCTTGATATATATGCGACGCTAGGGATGATCTCGCGCGCGATCTTGTGACGATTCTCTCTGACCAATCAGCAGTCGAGAGTGTTGACGTCACTAGTTCAGCCCTGGCCCTGGTCTGATAGAACCACGATTTTATGGGGCCGGAAAAAGAGGGAAAAAGTACCCGCTAACCGGTGCTACGCTATATGGAAAGGCCACCAAAAACTGGCCTGGCTGCTTGAGGACGATTAAGGACGCTTAAACGGGGCTACCCGCTGCAGTGGAAATGCGCCATAAGACACAAAACACCACCAAAAGTTGGACAGTCTTACTTGAAACATTTCTATTTAGTATATATTTTATATCCATTAATTTGTATCCATCATTTACTAAAATGTTAATCAGATTTCAACTAGAGCGAAATGTAAGAATTGGTAAATTAAATTATATTTTTTAAATGCCAAACATGTTGTGTTTCCAGGATTTTGGGGTATTCTCAGTTTCATATCGTCGTAAATTGAACATCTGAAGAACTCACTTTAGTATGTTTTTGTATTTACTCCTGATTTTCTACCGAAGCAAATACAGGTCTTTTACTTCAAAGTGTTTACTAGAATAAGAAGAAACGTCCAAGGCATTCTTCTTTCTGGTAAACAACCTTTGTTCAGACGGCTGTTTCAGAGTGAAAGGAAAACATATTTTTACAGTAACTTTTACAAGTCAATGATCCACGACTACACAGTAAAAGGTGAATGATAACAGTGAAGTTAACTGTTAAAAAATGTCATTTGTTTCTGTTTTTCACAGCCGACTGTTAAATATTCATTTTTCCTGGCTCTACAGATCGTAACTTTCTTCTACGGGAAATGTTGTTGTTTACCTTAAAAACACGTGACCTCAAGGCCAAATATCCGCTTTACGTTCTGTTATCTCTTTATAGCACACGCTTATATATAGAAACAGTCTGGCTTTAAAGAGTCCTCTCCTGCTGATGTTCAGGTGTATATCAGTATGAAGTGTCTCTACTTTAAAGAGTCCTCTCCTGCTGATGTTCAGGTGTATATCAGTATGTAGTGTCTCTACTTTAAAGAGTCCTCTCCTGCTGATGTTCAGGTGTGTATCAGTATGTAGTGTCTCTACTTTAAAGAGTCCTCTCCTGCTGATGTTCAGGTGTATATAAGTATGTAGTGTCTCTACTTTAAAGAGTCCTCTCCTGCTGATGTTCAGGTGTATATCAGTATGTAGTGTCTCGACTTTAAAGTGTCCTCTCCTGCTGATGTTCAGGTGTATATCAGTATGTAGTGTCTCTACTTTAAAGAGTCCTCTCCTGCTGATGTTCAGGTGTATATCAGTATGTAGTGTCTCTACTTTAAAGAGTCCTCTCCTGCTGATGTTCAGGTGTATATCAGTATGTAGTGTCTCTACTTTAAAGAGTCCTCTCCTGCTGATGTTCAGGTGTATATCAGTATGTAGTGTCTCTACTTTAAAGAGTCCTCTCCACACACACACACACACACAACAGTTACTCACACACACACTCAGAGTTGATATAAATAGCACATGGGGCTTTCCTCAACTAAACAAACCTTGGTTGACTAACACTCATAAGATTTTGTCGACTGTCTAAATATAATCCTGCAGTGTCCAACTGAAATATGCTCAAACGTTTCTTGAAAACAAGTCATTTAGCATAAAACTATAAAGGGCTGTAAAGAGATTTATCGTAATCACAATATGGACTAGTGGAATATTGCAGGAAGATAAATATTGATATGTGTGTTAAAATACATTTTGAATTAAGTATTGTTTAGCTGCAGAACACACACGCACACAAACCAGCTGCACCCTTTTCCAATCAATAACAAATCAATGAGATGCAAATTAGACGAAAGACTCAGTTGAAACCACGCCCCCTTTGAACATAAGTCCCGCCCACATCCTCAACCACTCCTGTCACTCAGACTGAACTCATTGCTCCCTTCTTGTTGCACTGAGGTAAAACAAAATCTCTCTTTTTTTCCTTTTATTTCTGCAGGTTTTTTACACTAATCTGTTTTTTCTCACTCTCGTTCCTCAAAACCAGCCAAAGGAACGGTCCACAGTGTTTTGCACAAGTGATTTCTGTTTTTTATACCTTTAAAAATCTGATTTCTCTTCTTCTTTCAGCACTAAAATCTGTTTCTTCAACCTCTTTACCCTTTAATTCTTGCAGGTTTTTGCCCCAAATCTGATATTCTCCCAATTAGACTCACTAGGAACAATCAAAGTCAGATGTAGTCAAAAGTCTCTCTTTGCTTCCTTTAATTCTGCAGGTTCTGTCACAATTAAAAGCCGCAGTCGGCACTGTTTGCACAAGTAAGACCAGTGTTTCTTTGTAGCTTTTAAATCAGATGTATCCCCTTTCAGAACTAACATCCATCTCTTCCTCACCCACTCCTGTCCCTCAGATCAGACTCACCTCCTCCGTTCTTGTAGCACAGGTACGGGAACCTCCACACGTTCCCCAGTCCGACAGCGAATCCCACGCAGGACATCATGAAGTCCATCTGCCGGGTCCATGTTTCTCTCTCTTGATAAGGCACCACAGCAGGGGGCGCTTTCTTCTCCGGCCCGGCACATGCTCCAGCACCGGACCCCGCCCCCGTTAACGGGACCAGGCTACCGTTAGAGGCCGCTGGGGGGTAACCACAGGCACCGTTTGGATGTAAGAGGGGGGTCTTCTTGGTTTCCTCCAGGAGAACCAGAGAGCAGGAGGAGGCCGACTTCTCCATCGCTCAAAAGTCCAGTCAGGAAACCGTTTACTTAAAAAAAAAAGTTGGTAAAAGGGTTGAAAAACCCGGGTCAAGTTCTCTTTAATTCCTGTTTCTGAGCCCCACAATCTGGTGGTTTCCCACTTAGACTCACCCAAATAACCAGAAACAAAGAAAGTCAGATGTTTTCAAAAATCTCTCTTTACTTCCCTTTAAGTCTTTTTGTAAGTCAATTAAAGGAGCAGTCTGCACTCTTTGCTCAGTAATTTCAGTTTCTTTGTACCCTTTCAAAATGTGTTTCCTCTTCTCGTTCTCACTGTCAGATACCAATAACAACCCCCGCAGTCTGCACTGGTTGCTGGTAAATTCAGTCCCTTTAACTCTTGCAAGTTTTTCCTTCAGAATCTGGTCTTTTCCCACTTGGACTCACCCCAATAACCAGATCCAAACAAAGTCAGATGAAGTCAAACATCTCTCTTTGCTTCCCTTTAATTCTGCAGGTTTTAACACTTTAAATCTGTTATTCTCACTCCCTTCCCTCAAAACCAGCTAAAGGAGCAGTCCGCACTTTTTTGCACAGTTTATTTCAGTTTGTTGTACCTTTAAAAAGCTGATTTATCTTCTCCTTTCATGACTAGAATGTGTCTCTTCCTCACAGTCAGATCCCAGTAACAAACCCCTCAGTCTGCACTGGTCGCTCTGGTATTCTCAGTCTCTAACCTGTTTATTTGTGCAGCCTTAGAGCCTCAGAGCCCGGTCAGAAACAGATGAGTCAGTCCAGCAGGTGCAGCTCGTCCCGCCGCAGGATCTCTATTCTCGCTCCTTCTCCAGTAATAATACAATATTATTATCAATCTCAGCGAGGTGCAGGCGGATCGTGGATCATGCTCCAGAATCTGTTTTTAAAATCGAATGAAAATTAAATAAAAATAAATCGAATAATGTCTAGTAATAATCTGGAGACATATCTTTTCTCCAATGCAGAAAAAGAGACACGATTCTAGTGGAAAATGAAAAAAATATTACCCCAAAAAAATCAAGAGAATTGAACCAAGAATCTGGCTGCGACCTTCAAAAACAATCCACGAAACACTTGAATGTGAGTCTGAAGAATCGCATGAGAACAGAGAGTCACGGAGGAGACGGCGGCCCGCTCACAGAGCACGGAACCGGGCAGCGAATAACGGGAGGACACCGGTCGGACCGGAGCTTCAGACCCGGTGGTAGTGGGGGTGGTGGTGCAGGGATTGCTGCAGGAGCTCCATCAAGGATCAGGGTGAAAGAAAAAACCTGGTGCTCTCAGCTGTCAAATGTCCCCGGTACAGCCGCTCAGAGGTATTTAAGGTCCGGCTGCGCGTCTGTACCTAGGTCTGTACGTCTGTCGGTCCTCAGGAGGCTTTAAAAGGAGAAGCGGCTGCTCACGGTGACGCTTACGTCCCTCCCTCTGCGTCAATACGTCATCGTTATAACCCCTCCCCCTTTTCGCTCTGTTCCTTTCACAAGATCACCCTTTGCTTTTTTTTGTTTTTTCAATCTCTCATGTCAGACAAGCTCCCCTTTCCCTTTGTATCTCTGACGTCACAGGGGTCCCCCTCCTCCTTCATATTCATTCAGTATCAGTCAATCCGGATGTGGATTACAGTGGTGGAATAACAAAACAAAAAACAAAATGTGGGACACACAAAGAAAGACACATAATAAATAAAATAAGAAATGCAAGTGTATAACATCATTATTACAGTATATCTGTTTACATAAAAACAGAAGTATATATGGAGGGGGGGGAAGTGGAGTTAGATAGAAGCAAGAAGTCGAAAGGTGTACAAGGTCGTATGAAGGTTGGACAATAAATAGGGATATTATCTTTATTTCCTTTAGACTTTCAATTGTCTAACAGGAAAGTGCTTTGCCTTAATTTATCTAACCTTCCTGCTGTCGTTGGGTCAAATATGACGGACTGAGAAGTGTTTGTCAAGTCAGAATAAAGGGTTTTAGTGCATGTAAATGGTCTGCAAAGGCTAAAATCCCTGTGAAATGCCTCAATTGGACTCTTTGTTTACTTCCTTAACATAGTGACATCACTATGTAACACTAGTGCTCCTATTTGCTAGCGCTCCCAACACATTGTACGTGACAAGCTAAGGGGCGGGACATCTCTAAGCTGTTGACCAATCACAACAGAGCCGGCCAGCTAACCAATCTGGTTACCTCTGGTTTCAGACAGAGGGTGAAAAGAGGTGCTGCAGCACAGGAAGTATGAGAGAAATAAAGAGCTTTTTGAACATTAAAGCATGGAGACATGTAGAGACACTACATACTGATATACACCTGAACATCAGCAGGAGAGGACTCTTTAAAGTAGAGACACTACATACTGATATACACCTGAACATCAGCAGGAGAGGACTCTTTAAAGTAGAGACACTACATACTGATATACACCTGAACATCAGCAGGAGAGGACTCTTTAAAGTAGAGACACTACATACTGATATGAACCTGAACATCAGCAGGAGAGGACTCTTTAAAGTAGAGACACTACATACTGATATACACCTGAACATCAGCAGGAGAGGACTCTTTAAAGTAGAGACACTACATACTGATATACACCTGAACATCAGCAGGAGAGGACTCTTTAAAGTACAGACACTACATACTGATACACACCTGAACATCAGCAGGAGAGGACTCTTTAAAGTAGAGAAACACTACATACTGATATACACCTGAACATCAGCAGGAGAGGACTCTTTAAAATAGAGACACTACATACTGATATACACCTGAAAATCAGCAGGAGAGGACTCTTTAAAGTAGAGACACTACATACTGATATACACCTGAACATCAGCAGGAGAGGACTCTTTAAAGTAGAGACACTGCATACTGATATACACCTGAACATCAGCAGGAGAGGACTCTTTAAAGTAGAGACACTACATACTGATATACACCTGAACATCAGCAGGAGAGGACTCTTTAAAGTAGAGACACTGCATACTGATATACACCTGAACATCAGCAGGAGAGGACTCTTTAAAGTAGAGACACTGCATACTGATATACACCTGAACATCAGCAGAATAGGGCCCCTTTAAATCAATCTGTGTCCATAGAAGCGGTGCTATAAAGAAATAACAATAATTTCTCCTTAATGTTAAGATGGTGAAGATAAAAGTTAATCATCTCTCGCCGTTAAGAACTCGTTTAAATATCACCCGTAGGCTACTCAAGATTGTTGAGCATTAATAACTCATCCTTTCCAAGAAAAACAAACAACAACCCATAACCATTCATTCTTGTTCCGGAAATTCAAAATATCCTCATTCAGTTTTAGAAACCTTTGAATTATTATGGGATGTTGGTAATGCTTTAACCATCTTCCAGTTTCTACAGTTAAATGAACAAAACATGTGTGAGGTGAAGATCAAATCACACCATGATTGATTTATATATTTTACAATGATAATGTGAATTAGGACTCAAAAAGGCAAAATTCCAAGCATGAATCATATCGCTTTTGCAACTTAAAGGTGGGGTAGGTAATTCATTTCAGAAACACTTTTTGTTAAATTCCATGGAATGCTCTTAACATCCCGATAGCAATGAATATATAAAATGCTTTGACAATAAAAACACCTATGGAAGCCATAGTACTGTAAAAATCTCGACCAATCATCTGAGCCGGCCCGGCTAAAGTAACTGGATGGCCTACCTGCCTGTCAGCCTTCCATCTGTGCACAAACTTATCTTGTGCCCTCATTGGTCATGTGCACGTTCGTGTGTGTTGGAGGAGGGGCTCTGTAAGGAAGTCTGAAGGAAGAGGCAGATTTCTTTCGGCTGCGTATTTTCAAATTCTAGCGCACTCGAGCTGATTTCTCCAAAATTACACACCCTACCTTTTAGTAAAAAATAATCGCAATTCAGATTTCAATTCAAATTGTGCCGCCTTAAACCAGGAGTTAAGACAATATATTTTTTTGGAAAGGTGATGCAAAACAACCACAAAGAAATTAAATAAGATTAGTGAGGGATGCAAAACTAACAAAAAGACTTAAAATAACAACAACAACAAAAGATTCCATGAGTAAAAAAAATATAATACCGTAACAAATCTGCAAAACCCTGCTGAAAATACCAGCCTGACCAGCCAGTAGATATTAGGCTGGAAATTGTTGGCTGGTTTACAATAAAAATGTACAGTAACATGTATGATAAGAAAAACGCAACAAAGAAAGTGTTTTTTGTTTTTCCTTGTTCATGTCCATAATGTTTTCCCCAATCTGGCCTGCATCTCTGTCTGTTGAAGCCACTTCTTGATGCAAACTGAAAAGAAATGTACACGTCGACTGGCGCTTCCGTCGACGCTTGAAAAGTTGAACTTTTCTCAACTTTCGAAGCGAGCAACGGAGGCAAAGTGACGCGACGGAGCCACAATGCACTTGAAGTCCCCCCATTCAAAGGGTGTTTCTCAATGTCGAGGAAGGCTGCTCCAGAGTCACTATTTCAAGGATGCTACGTCATCGAGTCCCGCCGAAGGACTTTTCCAATGTCCAGGATACTTTTAATTCCGAGGCCGGCGTACTTCGTTGCGGGAAATTTCGAGGCTGCACATGTGTATCTTCCGCGGTCTTAAAATCCCCACAATGCTTTGCGCACGGACTAATTTCCAAATCTTTGGCGGAAATCGCACTCCATTTAAGGCGGGGCCTCGCATATGACGCACACCTGCACACCTGTTAGCCTGTTCCACAATTCTTCATTTTCCGAGACTAGGAAGGATTCTTGCCTCGCTTTTGAAGCAACTGACTCGGAGGTACATGTGCTACCAAGCAAGCGTCCTCGACATTGAGAAACACCCAGCGTGAATGGGAAGCGTCTCCGTTGAAGCACGCGACGGAACCATGTGGACGTAACATTAGCGCCAGTCAAAATCATGTTTTATACCGCTTTGTTTCAACCACTGCCGTCTCGCCGTTCCCCTGTGTCCCGACCTCTCTGTCTGTCTGTCTGTTTCAGTTTCACCAGCAAGACTGATGGTAGACCAGCATAAATACCAGCTTCACCAGTATAGAACAGCTTAACTACCAGCTTCACCAGCATAGACCAGTTGAACTACTAGCTAAAACCAGCATAGATGCTGGTTAAGCTGGCCAGGCTGGTCTTGAACCAGCAATACCAGCCTAACACCAGCTAAAACCAGCAACCATCCTAAACTGGTCTATGCTGGGTTTTTCAGCAGGGAAATGACCAGAACAGAGCCTGAAAACAACTACACAATCTACCCCCCCCCCCCCCCCCCCCCCCACCCCAGAAGTGGCTCTTTAAATATTTGTGCTCATTGTCCATCTGTACAAGGTTTAGAAAAGTCAGACTCACCTCTCTGAGTTTCTTCATCACTGAGAGAAGAGAGAAAATAACTTAAATATTGGTGGATGCTGACCTGTAAACAAATAGGAACCATTTGGAGGGCTGCAACTATAAAATGTGAAGGAGAATTAATGGTCTTGGCTAATACTTGGCAGAGACTGGAACGCGCCTGTTTAAATATGGCATGCTGTGCAGGGATATGACTTATTACTGGAACATACTGACATGTCTTGGTATAATCACGACAACATTGTGTGAAAGACCCTGACTTAAACCAGACATGCAGTAAAGAGTTCTGACTAATACCTGGATGCAAAAATAAGCTTCTCTGGGAAATATTCGGAAGGCTACGACTAATATCTGGATGAAAATTGACAGGTTGGGATTTTACTTTGTTGATTTCCAGTAATGTGCGACAGACAGGGAGTTGTTGTCATACAAAATACAAGGGGGGCATAAGCGTGGCCTGTGGTAGGCATTTAGCCCTGGATGTTTTTTCTTTAGCCCCGGACAAATTCTCCCTCAATAATATAATACATTAACCGTACTTTACCTAGAGCAGTGGTTCCCAAACTTTTTGTGCCCAAGGCACACCAAAGGACAAGTAAAAATCTCAAGGCACACCTATTGTGCAAAATATCCCTTATAACACGTGTTATCATTCATATCATGTAAAATATCTGTAAATGTGCATAATTATTTACTAATGCCAAATAAAATGTGACAAAGACAACTATATTACTCATGAAATATTTATTAACGAAATATTTCAGAAATGTATTTTAAACTTTATCAAATTAGGTTTAATCAAAGCAGCAACACACTCATTTAAACCAGACAGGTCACAAAATTAACATTTCAGCAATCAGCATTGAAACATGTGCTATTGTAAATATGTTCGCCGACTTACAAATTAGTGAGATACATGTGCCTGTCGGGGCGTGCAGAATCCTTGGTGGCACTGAGGAGAGGGCCACTCGCAAGTCCTGTTCAACAGAGAGCCGTGAGTCCCGTGA